CAGAGGATCTGCAATTGCTCCTTGCACTGTAATAGTCCACGTTCAGTTATCAAAGGAGGCGACGAGTGGGCGAGATAATAACACTAGGTAGTGATATCATCCACTATGATATCGTAATCTTGCGTCATCCTGCCCCCAACAGAACTTCGCTAGAGAGCTGAGAATGCAAGTGGGTCATACACCAATATTTATGGATGGTGCAAGGCTGTGAATCACCTCTACCTTTGAGATAGTGTCAAGAATCTTTAAAAAAAGAAATAAAGTAGTCGTATAACAAGTGGTGAGAGTAGTAGGAGAAAAGGGTTTGATTCAAAGCGTGCATAGCTTAATACTAATTTAATAAAGTAAATTAACACTTACATTCAAGGGGTATTCGGCTGGTATACAGTGGTATACTGATAGCACTTCTGTCCAGCGAAACGCATGCACTGCTCGGCGTTAATAATATGTTAACGCATAAATATATATATATAAACTGTACACAACAAAGATAACACTTGCTGTAAAAGATAGCACAGTAACACATGACAGCAACATATACATTGTAATGGCTATTATGCTACAGGTTCACTGATCACATAATATGTATAAATGCACTGGTGTACCCTGAGACAGTAATTAAACACTTAGCACCACTAGTCCAGACCAGACAATGTGAAACAATTCATTACGTGACACACCAAAAACTATAAACTGAACACTACGGTCACAAATGACCTTAAATGTGTGATCCTTTGTGATCTGACAACCCTTCATAACCCCCGTGTTAAACCATGTGATTTGCCCACCTCCATCACCTCTCCCTTATTCTTGTTCTTCTACACAGTCAATATTTTCTCTCCTCACCGTGCCTCGCACTCCTCGCCACAGCACACTTCTCCCCATAGACGCTCGGGGACTGTAAAATCCACTTGTAAATATTTTAATCTGGTAAAGTGTTGTTCTTTTAAATTGGAGCCAAAGAGCTCCCTGGCAGAAGGGGGCTGTGCCCCCCCCCATCTCCCCCCTGCAATGTCTGGGGAAAGTCGGCTGGATAGTCTGTCTTGGTCTTGAAGATGGTAGAATATACCAGTGTCAGCTGGCTGTTAATAGTTAAGATTGTTTAATGTGTATAATGCCTACACACAACTGGAACCTCCCCACATCTATCCTGACCAAAAACGCCAAAATAATCATCAGCTACAACAACAACAACAACAGTACAAGATGAGACTTCTGAGTAGTTGTAGTAGACATCGGTCTCGACTATTAATAGCCAGCTCACACTCGGGTACATTCTACCATCTTCAAGACCAAGGCACAAGATTCACCACAGTGCTCTCGTTATCATAAAAACATTCGAAGTAAGGAAACTGCAGAAGTCCTATTGGCCCCGCGCGACGTCGTGCTTCGCCACATTTCTCTTGGTTATGTGTTTTTGCTCAAACTAACTTCCTTTGAGAATGTTGAGACGTAAAACGAGACGCATACCTTAGCGTCAGCCAATATAAAGCTGTAAAAATAAACTGTTGGAGAGTTAAATGTTCAACTAAGTTCTCAAATATGAAGAACATCATTAGAAATGTAGAGAATATTGTCTCTAGTGACAATCTAGTGTCACTAGAGAATCACGCCATTATCTCGCCAATGACACTAGATTGACGCCATTATCTCTAGTGGCCTCGACGAGGCCACTAGAGATAATGGCGCCAGTGTTGCTTATATGTGTGTGCCATAAAAAGTGAAAGAATAATGTCTGGTAATATATTAGTATTATTGTTACTGGCTATAAGATGGAGCCTGGTAAGCAATACAGTGTGTCTACGGCACCCGTGGTGCCGGGACAGACGGCACCCGTGGTGCCGGGACAGACGGCACCCGTGGTGCTGGGACAGACGGCACCCGTGGTGCTGGGACAGACGGCACCCGTGGTGCTGGGACAGACGGCACCCGTGGTGCTGGGACAGACGGCACCCGTGGTGCTGGGACAGGCTGCACTCTTTTCTTAAGTCACATTGATATATATGCTCGTCCTCTTTTGTATAGTGGAAAATTACTGCGTTGCATCGCAGTATAGCATTAGTCTACAGTACACGTGTGTTCCACCTCATGTATTGTGTCATAAACTCTAGTAGGCCTTGCGTCCAGCATATGCAGAGTCTAAAATGCTAACATTTTTGTCATGAACCTCCTGTACAATAAATAGAACATTAATTATAACATTTACTCTTTCATGTGTGAAAGCAGGAAGGATAGCACGTAAGTAAATAATGTTCCAGCTTGTTAAAAGTGGTACAGTAATGTGTGTTGGCCTCTGCACGACTCGTGTCCCAGACCATCTCCATCAGTCTCTCCTCTTCAAGTTATACGTTCATGTTTTATCCCGTTTTCTTTGTAGTAGTAGATTCGTTTTTAATGTTGCCTATTCAACCGTCTACTTTAATAAAACAAAATTCTGCAATAGCTGTGAACTCTGTAAACAACATTATTTCGTCGATCAGTCACCTGGTGCATATATCATGTCCGTCTACAGTCACCTCGTTCCACTTTCTGTCTGTAATCACTAGTGTACGGTAGTTACTGTGTGTTTGTTGGTTAACCTTCTGCTCTCATCTGTGTAAGTTTGTGTGTAACTGTTCTTTAATAAACCTTTCTTCTCGCACACGTGACTGTTCATACTGCCATGTGTTGAATACGAGAGTGCTCATTTACTGACCTTATATACCCTACACCCCACAACGCCCTCCACACAACACCCCCCACACAACACCCATCAACACCCCCACACAAGGGCACTCCATCTCCTCCGGCAGCATAGTGTGTGAGCGCGAGGAGAGGGAGGAATACACTCCCAAGCCGGCGGTAACTGTTGCTGCTAGTGGGCTGCTCTCACCACTACTGCATTGTCATCTACACCTCTCACCACCTAGCTTCCCCTTCGTGGCGCCACCTGGCTCCCCCTTCCTGGCGCCACCTGGCTCCGTCCCTCATTGGTCGGCAGCGTTTTCACCGTTACATTCTCTGAACTACATTAGGACGGGTTATCTCTTAGAACATTGTGTTTGTGATGGTTGTGGTGGTGGAAGGTGTACGGGCGCACTGGTCTCTAATCCCATTAGCGGCCATCAGCCGCCTGCCAGTGGATCACTGTCTCGGTCTCACCATCACCATTTTCTTTTGTATTTCTGGCATGGCGCGGGAAGCCTTAGAGAGTTTTGGGAAATATGTAGAGTGGAGCCGTTGTCATTTATTGCAGTGTCGTGCTCGTCTCTTGCTAATGTTATTTGTCTGCAGTAGGTAAGGTCTAGCTAGATGCCCCCTGGACGCCGATGACACTGGCAGGGATATTAGTCAAATGAAACCACTTGAGCTGGATGACACAGCGATGACTCGCATCTTGCAGGATCGGCATCCGATTCCTAATGGTCTAAGACTAAATACCTAAGCACCGTTCCTACCCCCCGCCCTCATATTCCAGCGCCTATTCTATCGTCATATCCCAACACACTGTATCCCTCAACACCCTACAACTCCCACAACACCCTACACCCCACATCCCACAATACACTTTGGGTTTAAAGTGTAGCTGTAGGGTGTAGGTGTAGCGACTGTAGCGAAGATGTATATGGTGGCGAATGTGGCAAGGTGCTCTTCGCCAACACGTGTAAGTAAAATGCGATGGGCGAGTACCATAGACTCTAAGGCTACGGAACTACGGCTAAGTATAATACTGTACAATACAATACAATTTTATTCAAAAGAATGTGTGTGTACAAAGAACAAAGGAGTAATGTACAAATTGTAGGGACAGGAGTTGCACAATCTGTGAAGCCACTATTACGCAAAGCGTTTCTAACAAAAACATAAAATGAATAGACAAAATGTATTTACAAAGGTGTGAGGAGAAAATAACAAATTAATGTAAAAAAAGGCGACACTTAAGGATGACAGGCGTAGATTTTACAATATGAAGTCAGTAGTTGTAGCAATAGTACAGTAGTTTATTTACATAATAACAGAACGGAAATACAGGGTATAGTTTAGAAGAGCAACTGAACTCTTTCTCATGACATTTTGTTTGGAACATAACAGAGTAATATAGTCAATGGGGCCAACCCTAAAATCGTCATATCCCAGCAAATTAATATTTGTTTGCTAGTTGTGATCACTTTGAGCCCCGTTCCCACTAAGATACACAAGCCTGAGGCAAGATATTCACTCGAGTTCCCCAGCAGTTAACCAACTTACACAAGTACACACCATATGATACATGAACAATATTTGTCAGCTGCCAGTTGATAACACTGCTGATATGCTGACGATGAGTCATACTAACGTGGCTGAAGATATGATGACCAAGCCACACACCAGAAGATGAAGATATGACAATGATTTGGTCTGTCCTGGACCATTATCAAATCGTATATGATAATATATGGTAATGTTTATCCTGGCAAAACATTTCCCATCGCTCTTTCTTACGTATACACTCCTAAATGTGTAATTACCCAAGTGTAGTTACAGGAGGAGAGCCTCATTGAATAGCTCTGGAGTTTTTCAAGATTGGGTTTACATTTCTCTTGGTGGAAGTTCTACAGTGGAGCGGCATGTTCCAGAATGGGCCTCACATAAGTCATCTAAAATGCTCTGAAGGCTTCCTTCCCAAGGTTCCTAAATGTTATTCTTATGTTTACCAGTTTACCATATGTAAAAGATAATACTCTATTTATGTGAGCCTCTGGTGCTATTTTAACTTTACTACATTGCCTGATAATCAGCCATAACAGAAAATCCTTCTGAACACGGCTTTATGGCAAAAATCTACAGGTAAATTGTAACAAAAATAATCACTAAAGTGTAACCTTGAGTAGTAAATTCAGTACAGTACACTGTACATTGACAACCACTTACTCAGTCACAACATCATGGTAGCTCTGTTACTTCGTCATAGACCCCGGCCAGAGCACACTATAAATTATTTAGAGATCATTACAGTGAACAGTTTGTCTTTGTTTTGGCAGCTGAGGAGGAGGGGCCATGGGAGAGTTGTTTGGTGTGTCTGGGCATAAGAGCCCCCCGCAGGGTCACCGGTAAGTTATTCTGGCTTGCACACCCCCGCTAATCTCGCGTGATACCAGTTGCCCAAGAGTTAACTTAGTGCTGTTAGCGAGATGCGTTGTATTAAAATTAGCATCATGTGATCCTACACCCCCTTCCCCACCATACCAACGACTGATACGAGTGCAACTAATGTGTTAGTGAATTATTTATATTATCATTAGCTGGAAAGGCATACTAAAACACGCCCGATTTTTTTTTAATTAACAAGAGTGGCCTGATTTATTGTTTTACCATGAATTTATCTTGGATTATTAGTGAAATGCATGCATTTGTTATTTTAATAGTCTATCATATACAGTATATATTTTAATGCCTCACAATGATTTTTATACTGGCAAAATTTTGGTGTTCATAATTGTTGATAATTACATTCCAAGGGTGTACTCAAAATCCTTGGAATTATCTCTTGATACAGTCCTCCTTTGTTCAATAAATTATGAATAGTTAGAAGTGTGGCCATCATATGTTTTTGCTGATGTCCAGCTCTTGTTAATGAGCATGGCAACAAGCAAGCTAATGAGGTGGCAAGTAATGCTTCAATCATCTTGGTCCAATCAAGGCAGTCCCTACTTTTGGGAAATTATTATTTCCCCCCCCCCCAAATTCTTATCCTGACCCCCCTTTCAGTGCTATACAGTATAGTTGTAATGGCTTGGTGATTTCCCCTGATAGTTCTCCTCCCTATCCAGGAATTAGGTCAACTGTTTAAGGGTCTTGTTGGCATGTTGAGGAAACCACTGTCAGCTCCAGCAATAAGGGAGTGACAAAAAGTTTCTCTGATTATAACCTCATATCTCAAGACAATGGAAGATCAGACTTGTTTGTAGATCAGCCACACATTCACAACACCTCTCTCCTCCCTCCTTCCCTCACCTCTCTGACTTCCAACCTCTAACAGTGAAACACAAAACACTTTTATATAGATTTGTAATCACATTTCTACATACGTATATGTATATGTTATGATGTTAGAGAAATTATTTACCAATCAATGTGTTGTGCTGTATAGCATGTAGTGATTGTTTTTCTAATAATTATGTATCTTGAAGAGTACCATTATGATATCCCATTACTTGAGGTACAAAATTTGTTTCAATATTGATGTACATTTGTTTTCCCTATCATGTAGGCTACAATACTGCATGTGAAAAGTTGGTTGGTTGGTGGTTATTCATGGTCTACAACAGAGAGAGCCTGTTTGAGCCCACAGACTACAGTATCTTACATGTGGAGAAGATTGATTCAAGTTAGATGGGACTAGATATAGACCTTTAATCTGTGCAGCTTTCTTAATGCTTGAATCAAATGAAATGTGTTTATAGAATCCCAAATTTGATGCCTTTGCCCCATCCCATCAAGCTGAATGGGAACCCCCTCCTGTTGTTCTGAAATGCCTTTTCCTTTAATATTTTTCTTTGCACTCACATTCTGTTGCTCTCTCTTCACAGATGGGTCTAAATCTGTTGATGGTATTTGTTACTCAGTTGTTTTTCAAGACCAAATGTATACGTGCCACTTACCTCCGGAGGCTAGCGATCTTCACAGCTGAAATGTATGCCATCTCGTTTGTCCTTCGTCAATTGCTTTTCCATCGTCAGCGCTCCTTTGTCATTGTGGTTGACTCTTGTAGTGTTCTCATGGCTGTAGTCATTTAATCCTATATATCCTGTGGTAGTTGAAATCGAATATTGACTGTTTGTAATCTCCAGCTGATTTAAACAAATTGAGTTTTGGTGGGCTTCCAGTCATATTGGTACAGTACTTCCTTAAATGAAACATGCAGACACTGCCGCTAAGGAGGCTATCCGCACTTGCCCTGTTTCCCAAAAAAGGCGTTCCTTATTTCTACCCAGTAATTCATTCCCATATCTGTACCCATTGTTAGGATTATTGATCTTCTGTTATTGGTAACAAACTGCATGCTCTTAAGGATAGCATGTCCCCCCATGGCCTTCCTCCTTCCACCGTAACCGGCAGTGGAAAATGGCTCTGGCAAGGTAAGTATTGGCCATACATGTTTAACTCAGGGGTACTTAATGGAGCACCGCCCTGCTCCTTGTCCGAAATACATTGTCCCTCTTACAGTTGTGCATCTCCTTGTTGAATGTTCTGATTTTCAGAATGTTCATGTGTCTTGCTTCCCGATTGTCACTCGCGGTCATTTGCCCCTCGATAGAATCCTTTGTGAATTCGATACTTTTGATATCGCTCGTCTTGTTGTGCTTTTGTTCTCGTATTGGCATCCTTAGTGGTATTTAGTTCCTTTTGAATTTCCTGGAACTTTGATGGTGTTACAGAGTCTCCCTGGCTTGGAACCTTCTTTTGATAATTACTTACAGCTTTCTAAAGTAATTTTGCATTTCAAACATAAAACTTTTTAAGTATTTGAACTATAAGAATGTTATAAAAAAATTGAGAAAATGTGTTGTTAGCCTATGAATCATGACGTAGTCAATATCAAACTTCCTTCATTTTAAAGAAGTAATTTATCAAATATGACACTCATATTCTCTTTCATATTATAACCTAATGGTGTAAGACCTTATTAAACTTGTATATACAATATTGCAGTTTAAAATACTTCAGTAATAAACAAGAAATTATAATTTTTACATGTTTATTTCTGTAAATATGCAGTAAACTACAGGATTTCCTTTTAAGTATTCTGTATATTTTGTTGTACAGTATATTTGTTTAATTGTTGTAATGGACATTATTATTATTAGTTATAAGCCTAATTTTTGTTTCTGTGTGGTGTTCATCATATAAATATTAAATTCCCTAAACTCATTGTAATTTTGTTTATAATTTTAAACATGTTATAGTATTAACTCTGGCATGAAGAAAAGTTACTTCACACCTAATGTTTAAGGGTCTGAAATATGCTTGATTTTCACCTGCTTTGAGTTAGCAAGTACTTAACCCTTATTTCTTATGCAAGTATGCAATTTTATGATGCATCTAAATGTGTTGTATCCTATTTTGAAATGTTTAAAACATAATTTAGATTCATTGTTTTGAGTTCAAGACAATTTCATACTGTAAGTTGCAGTGTATATTTGGTCATTCATGTATACGAACACTTCTTTAGATAATTTAAGCGCTATAAATATTACCCATTTAATTGCTTCTTTTTTATGTTTCAAGGATTTTTAAATTAATATTTACTTAATGTTTTTAAAGAAATTTGGATATGTTTTAAGTTATTGTTCCTAACATATTAAATACTGTGATATGATAATTAATGACCAAGTCATTATAATCTGATAATTTTATGTTATTGTATTCATCAATTGATTAACTGGCCATTAAAAAGTGAAAAATATGCACTTTTACCTATGAAAATGCAGTAGTAAGTTTTCTTGTTTTTTTTTAGCGGACAAGCTCCTGAAAGAGCGCCAGTACTTCAAAGATGGTCATCTGGACCGTGATGGATTGGTTGCCTTTATTAAGGAGGTTAAAAACTACCCAGGACTTACAGATGAAGATGCTGCTGTGCTCGCTGCCTCCAAGTGAGTGTATTGGCCTTGTAGTAGTTGTGTGCTGTCCCTTAGCTGGTATAGTGGTAGTAATTACCCAAATGTAATTACTTAAGTGAAGTTACAGGATGAGAGCAGACTTGTGGTGTTCCCCCTTTACAGCTTTCTGTCATATACTGCTTTGAAACTAATGGCAATTTTGGTGATACAATTATCACACTACTGATGGTAGTTTGATAATTGTAGTGCTTTCTACTCGGCACAACTTCCCGCTCTATAATCTCATCTCATTATTCATGGTCATATCAATGTGATGTTACATTAATGTGCAGGAGTTGACAGTGATTTAGATGGCACTGCTGCTGTACACATTACTCTTCTGAGGGGCTTGGGTCTGTAAGTATCACACACACAGGGTGATTTGAGTTTAACTGAATGTTTCTTCTGGGGCCTTTTTAAGACTAAAATGAATACTCTTCAGTGCCTGCCTTTCCCATTGTTATTTGGGGGGAAATGCTTACAAGGAAATTCATCCCATAGGGGATTTAATGTTAACAGTGGCCTGGTATGACTTAACCTGTCCTATGTGGACCAGGTCTGTGACCCAAGAAGCGATCAAGAAGCCTGCTCAGAAAAGAGGTATTTAGTGTAGCATTAGAAATGGTTTGAAAATAAAAATATTTGTAGTAAAGCAGTGGCTGGTATGTGTATGTGAATGACATCTTGTATATCATGGTTGATATTTCACTAGTGCTTCTGATTTAGGTTTCAAGTGAATAAATTATGGAGATAACGTCTGAAGCACTGATTAGTAATGGACATAGCTAGTTGAGAAAGCTGACAGTAAAATTTAAAATACTTTTTCTGAATATCTGGGATACAAAATACTATAACACCAAATATATAATTAAGATTTTTTTTGTGTTACATTTAGGTAAATGCTCATAAACTAATGTGTAAAGGCACACCATTGCTGTTTTGCAGACTTGTAGAATCACAGAGCCACTCTCGGATGTGGTACCGTGTTGGTGCTGTACGCAGCATGACTGGTGGACGCAAGACTCAACCTCAGCTCTCTTACAAACTTAAGGAGGTGAGATTTTCTCTATATTTCTCCCATTCTCCATTTTTGCCTTCAAAGAAAATGGGTATACAAAGAAATAGGGATTTCTATTTTAAAATTACTATATATTTCTTAAGTATTTCCAAACAGAAGGTCCAGTCACAATGCATATTTATTCAAGCTTGTGTCAGTTGGTGTGGAATCTGGCAGCAAAGCTGGAAGATGAGCCTGAAATGAACCTTTTATTCTATTAATGGACAAACATTTTATAAGAACATAGGAAACTGTAGAAGGGATATTAGCCCATACAAGGCAGTTTCTATTTACAGTACATTCATCCACAACCTCTCATGTCTTTGTCCAACTTATGCTTGAAACATTCCAGCTGTCCCATGTCTCTTATGAATCTAAACTGCTCCTAATATTCTATTTGGTTTGGAGTATACTGACCTCGTCAAATAACAGTGGTTGAGTCACATGTGGTATATGTGGTGCAGTTGAGCATGAGTAATATACTGTACTGTACCAACAAACTGTGTTTTGATTGTTCTTTGGAACATAAATTTGCCATTTTAATTATACATTTCAAGACATTAAGTACAGTAGTCTGAGTGTGCAATATACTATTTTATTATGTTCCAAAAATGCTTACGAAATACAGTAATACAAAATGATCACAGTGTGTATGTGCAATGCAGCAATTTGGTGTTGGTATAAAAACATGTACTGTACATACATGTATATACATAGTCTATATAAATATACTGTACATTGTAGATACATGTATGGTATGTATCTTAACTTAAACATTACTCATTAAGCATTTATGAAATGGGATCCATTTTAACATGTTTCGAGCACCTTCTTTCCCTTTTAGTATGTAGTATTTGTTAGTGAAAGTTCTGCAACCCTAATGTAGGCTAAACAAAACTGTTTGTGGTGTTTCCAACCTCATCAACAGTGTATATGGTCACTAATAATACATTTTGTGTACATATGTTATGCTGCATAAGGATATACAGTATTTTTTTAAGCGGCTTGTGTTATACTGATGAAATAAGTGAGGGGAATAAAAGTAAGTACAGTAATTGCATGAGATTTGTAATTTGTATATGAAATTACCTTGAGATGATTTCGCGGCTTAGTGTCCCCGCGGCCAGGTCCTCGACTAGGCCTCCTCGTTGCTAGACTGGTCAACCGGGCTGTTGGACGCGACTGCTCGCAGCCCGATGTACGAGTCACAGCCTGGTTGATTAGGTATCCTTTGGAGGTGCTTATCAAGTTCTCTCTTGAACACTGTGAGGGGTCAGCCAGCTATGCCCCTTATGTGTTGTGGAAGTGTGTAAATTTTGCAAGTTATTCATAATTATGATATATTCTTTCTCTTAATATACTCTACTGAGTAATTAATGCTTAGGTTAAGAGTAAATTATTACCTCTGTTACAGTGTAATGCTAGAACATAATTGACAGACGTTTCATCTGAAAATTTGAAATTGTTTAACTAAAACCATTGAATTAATGAATTTAAAAAATAATGAAATCATACTAAAAATAAAAAAATTAAATTTAGTTCAGACCAAAATTTTGCACACAGTAGAATGATGATAATATGGGATACTTTTAATATAGTTTAAAATATAGTTTGATGATGTAGAGTGTACCAGTGGTCATAATTCAGGCTTGATATCATGAGTTTTAACAACCATATCTGTGTCTCATCCATCTGTTCATTTGTGATATAGTTTGCAGTTATTTTATATTAAATATGATAGCCTAAAAATTAATGCTAAAATTATCAGATAATCCGTACCTTTATCTTTAAATTATCCAGTATTGTAACTTTTAGCCCTTTCGTCTGTAATGTGAATTTGAACAATTACATGGGGTGATTCTTACACGAATAAATATACAAAATGGGAGTGCTGGGGTTAAGACTGTCTCTCTCTAGTGTAGCATTGTGCACTACATATAAGTGGCTAGTAGTCAAAATATATACATAGTATATACAGCACTTATGTTATACAGTACTATACTGTACCATAAAAAGTTTAAACAATTATAATTTGCTATACTACTTTCAATAATGCCAAAGTTGCATAACAAAGCAAATCCAAGTTCATGACATGATTTGATAAATGTTGCCATGAATTTCACATGTACACACTTTGCTCTTCTTGATTTGACTTGGAATTATACTTTTGAGTTAAAACACTTACCATACAGCTTGGTTTATATTGTTATTGATCTCTCGTATGAACATTAAAAATTCACGAAACTTATTTTTGCGTGAGGTACCATCTCTCGGTTTCTGTTCGTGTATAGAAATGTTTAAACTAGCTGTGATCAAAAAGATAATACTTGGTACATTTCGTGTGTATATGTGCACAAAATATGAGATATTTAGTGATCACCAGTCTTTTGCTTCTAATACCAAGGTATCGAAAGATCTTCGCAACAAAAATCACCAAGACCTATTGTGGAAATTATCAGCCGTGAGTCTTGAAGGAGATGATACACGTGTGAGAGTTCAAATCACTTGTGCCTTTTTATAAGATTTATTTTTCCCACACTACAAATGAATCTCTCAAAACTGCACTGGTCAAAAGCAGAGTAATTGTGGTTATTATCTTATTTGTTGTTTTAGGAAATCACACACCCCAGAATTTGAAAAGTTGAGGATTGGAACCACTATGCAATGGCCACAAGATCAGAGCCCATATTTGTCTAATGCACGGCTGACAAACATTACCCTCATATGAGTGCACATACACCCATAGCAAGCCACCAATCTAAATTTGTGTTTTGCTGCTTCATTAAAAAATAACTATTATTATTTAAACACAATTAATTATCAGTTGTTAGAAATGCATTATTTATCGCCTAAAATAGCAGTATTGACATTTTTTATCTGGCAGTCTTTCAATGTCTCGACTAGTCCACCACAATAATACTGTACAATAATGTACTAAATTAGTGTTGTGTAAATACAGGTAATCAAATAGCCAATGTAATCCTTGCAAATATTAAAGCGTAAAATCCGTAAATACCAAGACTGTACAGGTACTTTAGTTTAAAATTCAGCTAGGGTAAGGGGAGGACCCTTTAAGATGCTAGCTTCTCGTACCCATGAAGGCCACTAGCGATAGTGGCCCTCAGGTAAATTCAGGTAAATATTATATAGATTATTCAGATTTTGCCTGGTAGGAAGTGTGGTTTGGTGATTGCAAATTGTGCCTAGCTACTGTATTTTTTATTTTTTTTTATTATTATTATTTTCTTTAACCGTGACCAAAATACAGTTTTGGAAAGTTCTGTTTTGAGAGGTTCATTGGTATGTTCTTGTTTTACACACCTTAAAAATGGTAGTTACACCTTAGCTAAGATACATTTCTTTGTCAGCTGTCTCTACAGCTATGCATCTGTGTGAAGGATCACCGAACTCATACCTATAGTAGCAATTACATTGTTTCCCATTTGAGGGCAACATCACTGTGTTTATATGAAGCATGCACACGTCTGTAGTATGCGCTAATAATTATCCTTCATCTACACTTGTTATTTTTCATTCACTTGTGCATTTTATTGTACAATATTTGCTGAAGTGTTTTAGGGATTATTATAATAGAATATTAATCTTGTGCAAGATATACAAAATACTAATCTGAAAAGTGAACTGAATATAATTAAAGTTTAAATACTGGGGCATGGTCATCCTTAAAGAATTACAAAGAACACTTAGTTGTAAACTAATTATATTATTGTAATACCATCAAACTGTGAATTCCAAAAGTTATATGCAGTATAGGTTATTTAATATAGTAGCATCATAACATACATACATAATGTGTCCTTTGACATGAAATCATAATGCAGTGGTCCCCTCCATTTACGAATTTAATCCGTTCCCAGAGACGGGTCGTAACTCAAAAATTCCTAACTCGAAATGAATTTTCCCGTAAGAAATAATGTAAATTCAATTAATCCATTCCACACTCTCAAAAATATTAACTTCAAAATACATTTCACACATAATACACACACATATTTTGTACTATAGTATGTACAAGTTATAGCTTACCTTTATTGATGATTTGTTGGCATATGGAAGATGATGAGGAGAGATGTTACCTTTTGGTAGGGGAGTTCCCTTTCATTATAACATCCGGCAGTGATGACTTCTCTGGGGTACACACTCCTACATTTTGCCTGCATACCACTAGGGCCTGGTTGTGGGTCACTGCTTGTTTTTCTCACTAAGAACCTTTACATAGATACAGTACTTGTTTTCTCTACATTTTAACATTTGTCTGTAGTGAGGTATTACAGTGTCCATGAAAAGATTAAGGCAACGGCCTATTGCAGCTTGATTTGGGTGAGTTGTTTCAACAAAACTTTGCATTTCTTCCCATACTGCACACTACTTCTTAAGCATTGAGGAAGGGACATTCCATGCTGCCTTCTCCTCCCTTGAAGAAATTTCCTCAGCTCTGTCTCTGATTTTCTAAAGCATTTGCAATATTATTACCAGGTATTGTTATTAAATTCAACTACAAAGGATTACTGCTAAACATGACTAAGGAGTAGACAAAAGGTAGACAACTATGCTGGGGGTGACTCCAAACACACCAACCTGGCACTCTCACAATTGGAAACAAAAACACAAGTACCTATTTCTAATGTTCAAATTAATGTTTTATTTTGTATACTTGTACCATACTAAAGTTATCACTAGCACTCTATCATGCCCTTTTTCACCTCCGTAGCTTCCAGTGTTCAGACATTGTTCAGAATGGTTCATCTTCCACTGCTACAATTTTTTCCTCTTGAAAAATACAGTACTGTATCCAGTTCTAGACTGAAATCCAGGAAGTTCTGATATTTTGAGTTTATTATTTTGTCATAACAGGATTGTTCTGAAACATTTCGCATGTAATGGGTACTGTATTTCCCTCAACTCATTTTCAGTTAATGGATCGAATATCCTCGCAGGAATTGGTATGTTCTTGAAATGTTCTTGTGTGAACACACCAATGTGAAGTGTTCATTTGAGGTGTCTGCTGTTGCTTTAACATTAACTTAGTCATTTAGGCAGTTCTTTTAATTTGTGTTGAGGTATGGTGTAAATATCTTATACCATTTACATAGGAGTAAGTGAGGTGTGTTAGATACTTGTACTATATATATAGTAATAATTATGTAAACATAAATGTACAGTACTAAAAGACAGGTACTGTACCTTTATTATTTTCAGGTACAATACTAGTGTGTGTGCGTTCGTTCTTCGTGGTTAAATATTATCACATTATTCATCATGTGTTAATTTCATTGAAATTTACACCCACCCACATCAAAAGGATATCATCAGAGGCATATGCTAGATTGGCCAACATAAGAACTGCCTTTAGAAGCTTGTGTAAGGAATCATTCAGAACCTTGTATACCACTTGTGTCAGACCAGTCCTGGAGTATGCAGCTCCAGCCTGGAGTTCATACCTAGTTAAACATAAGACAAAGATAGAGAAGATTCAGAGGTATGCCACCAGACTAGTCCCAGAACTGAGAGGTATGAGTTATGTGGAAAGGCTACTGAAGCTAAACCTCATGTCCCTGGAAGACAAAAGAGTAAGGGACATGAGGTTTAGGACACCACCTACAAAATTTTTAGAGGAATTGACAGGGTGGACAAACACACACTATTTAGCATGGGTGGAATGCAACCAAGGGAACACATGTGGAAACTAAGCACCCAAATTAGCCACAGAGATATTAGAAAGAATTTGCTCAGTGTCAGGATAGTTAAAAAATGGAATGCATTAGGCATTGATGTGGTGGAGGCAGACTACATACACAGTTTCAAATGTAGATATGATAGAGCTCAATAGGCTCAGGATATAGGAGATGCAGACGATTGTAATGCCCTTCAAATTGACCTGGATAAAATAAATATAAGAATAGTGTGTGTGTGTGTGTGTGTGTGAACAACGAAGAAACCAATGCATGATGAATTATTAAACGTATTTAACCATGAAGGAAAATAACAAACAAGAAATTACTTGAGTAATTTTGTGTTAATCAACACATCAACATACATATATACAATATACTGTGTGCATGCAAATAAATAATATAATATATAATATAATATTGTGGGTGTACCTTCCTAATTATATTTGGGGAAACAAATGACAGTTCCTGAGCCCCACTTCATAACCATTAATATAACTAGTGCACCATCTCAATAACTCTGTGGGTTTTGTTTTAACTCCATTTAAATGTGTGTGTGTGTAGTTTGACTTTGTGTGTATTCATAATTGGTTTCTCTTATTGCATATGTGTATGTGTAAGCTGTTTCCCTCCATTATATATCCTCTCTTCCTATCTTACCCAGATCCAACTTTATCCTCAAGATACTCCCCTCTCACACTCCTCCTTTCCTCTCCCCTTTCCTTCCATGTCCACCCTCTCTCCCAGTCTCCATCTCATCCCACCGTCTGCAGATTTTGTCCCCTCCACTTTTCCCCCAGCATCCCTGCCCTCTCATATCTCGCCCTTCTCTTCCAGCCTTCCCCTTTCCTATCTTCTCCACACCCCTGTCCCAATCTCCCTCTTTCACCCTTTCCTTGCTGGAAAACATTCTCCAAAAATGTTTGAAAACAAACCCCTCCTGGATTATTGCATATCCAGGCCTGGAGACCTTCAAAAGGTCTTCAATTTCTTCAAAATGTCAGATGTAACATGAAAGAGGAGCAACGGGTTCAAACTCAACAAACCACAATGCAGGACAGAAAACAGGAGATGACTTTTCCCCCTTAGGGTTGTAATCCTGTTGAACCGCTTACCCGCCAAAGCCGTAAACGGCAAAACTGCTGGGTTATAAATACAGCTGGAAGATCATCAGGGCAAATGGGAGGACCTTTGACAAGCTGCCAGCTTCCTGTCCTCATTGAGGCCACTAGTGTTGGTGGCCCTTGGGTAAATCAGGTAAATACACTAACTGGATCTGGTCTTGAGCCTGCTCAATTGTCCTGGGAACCATTCATGAACATTCTAAGAGGCATGAGGCAGGGGACCAGGTGTTGGTGTAGATACAATACTGTCATTTGGTGGCAGTTTATAAGAGCATTACAGTATTTGGCAGCCAAGAAGGGCTTTGAAAGGCTTACATGTATTTGAGAGAATGGAAATTGAGTCGCCTTCAGTGTATATATCTGTGGTGACAATTATAAAAGTTGCATCTTATTTAGACATCAAAGAATACATTTTCTCTAAACCTGTTTATTATACCTGGCACTATTCTGAATAAGTGCTTATTATATCATAGTTCATCAATGTAGATACTGTAATTTAAAATTTTAGTAATCATAGTTTCCTAAGTGCTGTCATTGAGTTTTAGATGATTTATGCTTTACCATAAGATTTTATGGAGTGTTATATGCAGTTTTAAATTTTTACTTTTAAATTAGGAAGAATAAGTTCTAGATTTATGATAATTGGCTTGGTTTTTATTAATTAACTTTTTTTTTTTTTTTTGCTACATTCATGAGGTGAGCATGTAGCCATGCATATTGACCACAGATGAAGTCATTGGTCATTAGTAATGTTTATATTATTTTGCTTCTGTAATTCTCTAGCTCATAATATTGAAAAAAATAAGCTTAATAGTTAACCATTACAAGCAGGAAGTATCTCCTTTCTCGCTTTAAACTCTTCACTGCTCATCTCTGTCTTCATTTCAAGCGGTCTAAGGACAGGAAGAAAACGCTCATCATGCTAGAGGACGGCACGAACCAGGTAGCCCCCGGTGCTCATATTGCTGCTTCCTGCCCTCGAGCATCTTATAAAGAAACCTTAACTATGTTTACTGGTTCAGCTTTTAAGGGAAAACTATTTTGCTATGAGTTGAAATTTCTTGTAAAATGTTGCATAAAAACAGAGTTCTGCATTTGTGATAACTTTTTTGGTGTTGGAAAAGGCAGATATAAGGATGGATGTGGGCAGGAGCTTTGACATTTATTGCTCGGTAAAGTAATGAACCAATTTGAGTGGTGTCAGTATTTTGTTGTCAATTCATGATTTGATCAGTGCTTATTCATATAAAAAGTGTCATTGTCTATCTTGCCCAGATCCTCTTGTATATTTCTTATCTTGTGTTTCAAATATTTTGCAGTTTCATCTTTGGTATTTACAAGGTACTGTGGTATTGTTCCTGGGAATCTTTGCTTACACTGGTACATATAGTTGCACACGATACAAATTTCCTCATTAGTGAGTTGTTATTGCAGAGAATAAGTCACAATAATGTGATTAAAAACAAATAGTTCAACTTCTGCATTGTATATGAAGTGAAAGAAAAGTAAATGTTTTGGCCTGGTATCACTTTCCTTTCATTTAATATATGAGGGTTGCATTATTTATAGATTTATTTTTATATTTGTAATACATATTTTGCTTTGTAATGTTAAATGCAATACATAAGTTCATCAATCCATATCTGTTTCAAAAGACAGTTAGTTTCTGATTTTGACTGAACAATATATTCAGGAGTCTCATTAATACTGATTATTTGCACTTGCTCTTATGTGAATGGAGCTTGCTTAGTTATTCTCTTATGGTAGTTCATTCATTATTAATTCTTGTGTGTTTATTACTGTTCTGATGAAGCAACACTGGGATTAGTCATTTCTTTTAGAAACTATTAGTTTAATAGTTGTTCTTTCTGTTACATAGATTTATCTCTAATGTTAAAGTAGACTGTAACAGTATTTACTTGTGAAATCTTGTATTCTTTTAATTCTTGCTCAGTTCTCTACTAAAATGTGTGGCTTCATGGCATGCTTGTAGCTTCTCGGCTACATCTCTCATTTTGACTTTGTGAATTAATTTTCTCACCATCATATGCCTGTATATAAAAACTGTATAATATTTTCATTTTTCTGTTATAATGAAAGTTTCTAATATTGTTCAGTTTTTCACCACTTTGTACAGTCATCTAAACAATTTATGGCAATTATGCATTTTCATTGTTCTTCGGTAGTGTTTGTAAATTTGGAGCAAGTTATTGTTCTTACAGATTCTTGCACTGAATGTAACTGAATTCATCACTTAATTTTAAGTTTTGGTATCAGACGGGGTAAGAATGCAGACAGCAGTAGTTTTTGAAACATTTATTGCACTTTCAAATAATGGAAACTATTGTTCAGTGCAAGTTATATTGTTGTCTAGGCACATCAAATGATATATATTTTTCCGTTGTTTGAATACCAAATGATGCCAAATAATTTTCATTGCAATAAACAGATGTCATTGAATCACTCAGCATCCAGGAATACAGTAGCCCGTTGCTTAGGTATCGTCACTATTGTGATGGCCGAGTACGTGTCTGTCCTTGCCCTGGACTGTCAGTCGACAGTGCACACTTACCAGGCCAACAACACAATCACCTACTTCTCCTCCAACCCCCCTGTTTACTACCCATCTTCTCCAGCACCCCTTCACCGTTATCCACATCCCATCCCTAACCATCTCCACAAACCATACACCGACACCCCTCATAGGCCCACACTCACAAAACTCATACTTTGTGCCCACACAAACTACTCATTACCAGTCAGCATCCACTGTACACCCACCTTGCCCACTGTACACCCACCTTGCCCACTGTACACCCAACTTGCCTACTGTACACCCACCTTGCCCACTGTATACCCACCTTACCCACTGTACACCCACCTTGCCCACTGTACACCCACCTTGCCCACAATGTAAATGCACCACCTATTATTCACCCACCTACATTCCACACCCAACCACTATACAGTACTGTGTACTCCCACTCAAACAAATTAATAGGAACAAAATTCTTCCATCCATCCCAACTTCTGTTGTTCTGGCATTGGTATGAGATGGACCATTTTTTTATGACAATGTTTAAAACAATACGAAGTGCATTTGTAAAATGCATTTATTAATATTTGAACATATTCATAATACTGTATAAACAAATATGATGTAATACAGAAAAAGAATCAGAAATACAGAATACAGTATTGTATGTAAGAAACAAATGTAAAGGGGCCCACATGCTTTCCGGACACCTTGGGACCTAGACTGAACGCTTAACTTGTTGTGTTCAGATAAGTGGCTCGTAAAAATTGACAATTTTATTGCAGAAATTCAACAGTATTTTGTTTGTACTCACCAATATGAGAAGTTCTGCTCCCTTTGTTAACTTTACGATTACATTGATGGAACATTGTTACTTGAATGGAAAAGGTGGTGGTGTTTGTTTATGTTAGGTTGACTAAAGTGAGCCATCCATCAGTGTATGAACACTGCTCAAGTGGCACCCAATGTAGTCACTGGGCAAATGAGGCCCATCTCCCACCCATACACCCTCCACTACCCCTGGGCAGTAAGGCCTGGCAGGCGCTGACCTTACAACCTTATTGCACATTTTTATTTGGACCGCCCGCCTCGCCAGTTGATCAGACTTTTCAAGGGAGAGCCCCTTGTGGCTCCCTGAAGCTACTATATTGATATAGTGCCAGACTACAAGTTGTCATCATTCGTGGAGTCCTGTTTGATCTACCGGGAACCAAGATCCAGAACCTGCCCACCTCAGAGGCTTGGAGCAGTGACATGTATGAAAAAGGTTATGATCCATCAGAATCAAGACTTTCAATTGTAAATACTCAACCCATCATCCTGATTAGATAGTACTCTTTGTAACTATGTGCACTGTAGTACAAACATTGACATGCTAAGGAATTTGTAGAATTTGGTACTACTGTATTCATTTTATAAGAGCCTGAAAAAATGAAGCTAAAAAAAACAAACTTAAATATTTCTATGCCTGGTATAGCACCCTTATATACTCTATTAGGCCTCAGATAACATGTATTAGGCCTAGGAAGGTTAGGTTAGTTTATTTTGTCTGCAACATGAATAGAAAATCTTTTCCAGCCTGTCCAAATTCAATAGTACAGATTTCTACTTTCTAATTGCATTAAATGTCAAGACAGTACATGAACTATGGTCCTCATCATCACTATAAGTACAAGTACTACCAAAACAGGAGGATGGGCTGAAATACTTGACAACAATAATTCCATCAGGAAATATTGTAAAAGTGACAGGCGAGTAGGTGGGTGTATTCTAGGACTGATAAACATAAAGGCGTGTACAGTACTTTATATGAAATGTAACGAAAAACATTTACATGGTACAATACACTAGACATACTAATTTTGCCCTTCATAAGGAAATATACTATAATTAATTATTATACAAAATCATCTTAACAAGAGTTGAAATTAATTACAATATGAGGCATATTTAATCACTTTTAAAGTGGGGGTGGGGGCTACCTGGTAAACTCAGTCGTGTTACATGCCCCTGACTGCATACCATCCGTCTTTTTCTTAATTAGAATAATTTGGAGCAAGAAATAAGTCTAGTGGCAATATTAATCAGGTTTGTGGTAAGAGGAGATAGTTTAGCTGCTACAATATACTGTACTCAATGTATTGATCATAAGAGAGAGAATTGGTCATGAAAATAGAGTGGTTGCACTGTTCCAAAATTAGCAAAGGATTATGGCTGCAGGTACTAGCAATATTTCTGATATACTAAAGCAAAAAAGAAAAAATTAAAGTTTGCTGCTAATAATAGCTCTTCTGTACAGTGATACCTTAATTGGTCACTCAGGGGTGACATGGTAACTGGACATTTACTGCAAAGGTAAGTAAATTAAAATATTTGCGTACAGTACTGGTGTTTTGAAAGTTTCGGTAGTACAGTTGGGTTCGTTCTCGACTCGTAAGCGGGAATCCTGGGTTCTAGTTCCAGGCAGGACAGTAATGATTGGGCATAATTCTTATCACATGATGCTTGTTCACCTAGCAGTAAATAGGTACCTGGGAGTTATTTAACTGTTGTGGGGTTCCATCCTTGGAAGAGTCAGTAGTTTGGTCTCTGGAGGAACTCAATATATGCCTAACATATATATATGTATACGCAGTCTGCCTGTCCCCAACAAAATTAATTAGTATTGTTTTATAATTATGTTCTCAAAGTTATATTCTTAGAATTCATCATGATATACTCACATTACTCATTAATTGCACTCCATAAACTCATTATTCTTTCTGTGCTCATTACAACACCACCCACAACATCTTCAACACCACCTCCACCCTCTTCTGCCACCACCACCACCACCACCTCCACCCTCTTCTGCCACCACCACCACCACCTCCACCCTCTTCTGCCACCACCACCACCACCTCCACCCTCTTCTGCCACCACCACCTCCACCCTCTTCTGCCACCATCACCACCACCACCTCCACCCTCTTCTGCTGCCACCACCTCCTCCACCCTCTTCTGCCACCACCACCACCACCTCCTCCACCCTCTTCTGCCACCACCACCAACATTTCCTCCACCCTCTTCTGCCACCACCACCTTCACCCTTTTCTGCCGCCACCACCTCCTCCACCCTCTTCTACTGCCACCATTCCCTCTATCCTCTTCTGCTGCCACCACCTCCACATTCAGTATTATGTAACACTGTTCTGTATTCTGAGATATGCATGGTATAGAGTCCAGGGATGCCTTCCTTGATCAGCTGTGATCACAATGTATTTAGATTAAACTCTGCAATTGGATGCATGTGTAAATAATTAATGTTTGTCACCACAGATGTTTTATAATTAACCACACGACTTGACACCACGTATAATGGGTTTTGGTGTAAACTTCCTCACCTGGTCACCTCCCCCTTGTGGTTTTATGATGGTGTTTTGCTAACTCATAATTACATTTGTTTCATATAATAACAATTGATGCATACACTTGTCTTATTCACTATTATTATTATTCTTAACAGAATTTTCAGGTGCATGCATTTTTCATGATGCTGAATAATTTAGCTTTTATATATTTAATATTATGATTTTTTTTGTCTTCATATTTGTACATGCTACTAAGTGTATGGATTAAGTGTTTGTGTTGCAAAAGCATTGTATGAGAATGGCCTGACCTTGTTTTACAGGGTGTTGACAAATATCTGCATAGAGTGAGTACCATCTGCTACTTCTTGACAGTCCTGCCTTCATTACAGCAACACTGGGCAAACCTCAACTACATTTTGTGCTTAATATTTCCAATACATATTAGCAACTGCTTGCATAGAGGCCTCTAGCTTGACTTTGTGCATTTTACATCCCTGATATTTAGAACAGTTGATGTGGTTATTTTTCTTGTTACATTTTTCAGCTATTTACTTTGGCATTCTTAATTTGTATAGATTCTAATATGATTATGACTTTATTATCAGGTATTGGATTCGTAGACAACTTCAGTACATGTAATTGGTTAGTAACTTTGATTAACATATATCATGGTCTGCACCATAGGAATAAGGACATGGGAACATCTGGAAATGGAAAAACAAACAAATATTAAGATGCTTGATACATATAACTAATCTACAAAGCACGGTAACTTTAGGTTGCTCACCTGGCGTGCCTAGTTTTGACAGTTTCAAAGCATTATATGATAAAGTGCTGGAAAGACAGGACACCACGAACGTAGCTCTCATCCTGTAAGTAAACTTGGGTAATAACAATTTTCAGCCGTCAATTATGACATTTATCCTTCAACCCACCTCTCCTTCCTCTGGTGTGATATCATCATATGAATGCCACTGCACCAGGCGTTTCTTAAAACAGTGTTCACTCGAATGCTACTTGGTGTTTAAACGCTGTGCGCCTTACTGGTATATTGCTATTTTATCTAGATTAAGGACACATTAGGTTGGGTAAGAACCTCTGAAATGAATACATTATGTTCTGGAATAGATTACACTTTGTGAATCTTTGGTTAGTGATCCATACACTGTTGCTAATACAATACAGTAATTTACATTTTAGGGGTGAGGTCAAAATGAAGATTTTGAATTCAGTTACTGTACTGCTATTTCTTGTAAAAATTTACATATTCATCACAAAACAAACTGTGATTATGTTGCTGAACAAAAAACTAAGCTTTTCTTTAAATTATATTTAATTTGTTGTGGAGTTTAGACATGAACCATTTATCATGAACCTAGTCTAACAGTTCCAGCCACTTGTGTTGTAGCTTCAGTAACTAATGTTGGACTATTGCATCGAGAACTAAAAGATGATGATAATGTTCCATGTAATTACCTAATTGTAATTACGGGATGATATCTTCTATTGGTGTCTTATCTTCCCAGTGCTCTTGTCATATGATGCTCTGTAACTACAGTACTGACAGTTTTGCCCTCCATGACCTTCTTTTAATTTGTTTTATCAAAAAGAGAACTTTCTAATCATTTTTTCCAGCACCTTTGTTTCCTTAGTTCGAATCTATGATCTCTTATTCTTGAAGTTGCAAGTTTCGGTAATGTGACAGCAGGAGTTTGTGTTTTGTGAATAGAGTTGAGAGAATTGTGCAGCAGGTAGTTGTCAGTTGTGTGTGTATGTATGTACTCACCTAGTTGTGTCTGCAGGATCGAGCATTGACTCTTGGATCCCGATATGTGTATGTATGTATGTATGCATGTATGTTCAAAGTGTGTGTGTGTCTATCACAGGTGGTTTGTGGGAAAGTTCATTTTGTATGGTAGGAGGGTTTTTATGTGGCAAGTGGCAGAATATACTGCCTGAGGGGCAGATTAGGAGATTCTGTTGACGTGAAGGTGGGGGGGGGGAAGAGTATCACATCCTTTAAGAGCAACAAGAGTGATGCTAAACCACATTGCTAAATCTTTATAGTAAATATTATCCAGAAAGCCCTGGCTGTAAGCCTTCAGCAGTCTTGGAAATGATATTTTGCCGCATGATAGATAGAAATGGATTCTCCAGCATCACGAAGAAGGTTTTAAATTTTAAATTACTGGTATTTTTTTGTCCAATTTATACTTTATAATGATAAAAAAGTCTTAATTTGTAAAAACTAATTCAGGGATCAAATAAATTTTGTGCTACATGGGTATTATTGAGTTGTAGCTTAGTGTGCCTTGTATTTTGTAATCATTGTTTACGTCTGTGGTCTTCCTATCATGAAAATTTGTTTGTATTATTTTTTAAATTTTGTATGTACTGTATATTGTGATAAACATTGTGGGTATTTATTCTGATTTAAAATACACTATATACAAATAAGGAATGATTTTGCACAGTGATTACCATTTGGACCCGGGAGCTCATTATTTAATCCTGATTTGGTAAATTGTATCACACTATTCTGTTTCGGTAAACAGTAGGTTAGTTGTATAAGATCATCGATTGCAGATAACAGGAGTTGTACATGTGCAACTGTTATGTTTGGTATTTTGAGGTTACAGCACTGCAGTAAATGTTGGTATAATTGTCAAGTAAACATAAAATGCTAATTTGCTAGTAAATTATAACAGATTACAAGGGATTCTCATTCCTTGAAGCACCTGACCATGTGATACAAAAGTACTGTAACAAAGGTTATAATTATTAAACGTTTTTTGATCCATAAACATTACAGACATAAGTTATTCCTTTTACAGTCTTATTCTTGAAGATTAAAAACTGTATACAGTAGTATATCAGTGATTTATTGGTACTGGGGCAGTGTGACTACTGTGGGTAACATTCTGGTGTCAGTGTTATGCCATCATGCTGAGCTCCATGCAAGGATCCAGAGACATTGATTGGGTTTGGTGTAAATAAACTTATTTAGTGAGTGTGATAATTACAGCCAATGTGTGTTGGTCTGATTGCTGCTTTTTTTTTAAACCATGGTTTAATTTTTTTATCACACTGACAGAAAAGCAAATGCATGTGAATGGTTAGTGTCATAAATGTTGCACACCATGGGCATGTGCATGTTAATGTTGTGTTCATGCACTTGTGCTTTGTGAAGTGTTCATGCACTTGTGCTTTGTGAAGTGTTCATGCACTTGTGCTTTGTGAAGTGTTCATGCACTTGTGCTTCGTGAAGTGTCCATGCACTTGTGCTTCATGAAGTGTCCATGCACTTGTGCTTCGGTTATACTTGATAATTAGAATTTAATGAGGCTTAATATTATTCCTGTTTATATATTGTGTAATACATGTTGATATCATGTATGTAGGAAACACTGGTGACTCTAACACAGGTAGGCTACGCTACCAGAACACTGGTCGTGTGTTTTTACATAATATATTCTGTATTTTCTACTAGCTAAAAAACATTATAACTTAGTGAACACCTTTTATAGTGCAGTAGCAGCACTCACTGCAATAGTAGTAATTATTCCTCTGTAACTTGTTCATTTATCTAAGCTCAGAAAAACTGTAAGCTTGGCATGGAAGGCTTCACATTTTGGCATGTAAATATATTGTATAATCTTTGGAAATAAAAATACAGTATGTTTATACATATTCTACTTCATTTAGTTGGAAGACACTATAGACACTTATTAGCAAAGAAATATTCGTAGCAATGACAATGTATAATGACTTGAAACTGTGATAATAATTACATATCACATACTTTTCATATCACTTGCACTTTGTTCAATACATTTGCTAATGTTTTACGCTACCTAGTTTCTCTAGTAATATGAATAGATTATTTGCAGAGATAAAAAGAAAATTAAACTGAACTGGTGTCTTCGTTGAGCAAAATAATTATTATTGGTTTCACATTAAGTAACTCCTACATAAAGAGCATGATGATCTGTGCTTAGATATTAAATGATGCTGTAACCATAATGAATTTTCAATGTATAAAATGGTATATATAGCAAAGAGTATAATATGTTTGATAAGCTTTCATTATCTGTGCAAATATAGTTTGAAAAATGTACAGTGATCAAATAGTTAGCACCATAGTTAGCTCCTTATAGTAGAATGGCAATAAGCTACTGTAATGTCATGTTAGTCTTCACATTATAAAATACAGTAAACACATATGCCAATTTATATACGTACATTTGCTGGAGATAATTGCAACAAATTTTCTATATCATAAATATAAAGTTAATTATATATTATTAAAAATTTGTAAGAAAGATAAATATATATGATACTGTAAATAAAAAGTTAAGAACACTAGGAGGAAAAGAGAGAGAGGGACATCTTGTAGAAACTTAACACGTTACTTGTAAACAAATTCATCTACTTACACTGTATATTAATTGTTAATATTTTTACTGTCAGGTCTACAATGCTATGAATGAACATCCTGAGGCACCGACTGTGGGAGAGGTACCGAAGGTAATGTCTTCCTCATGATATATCCTTCAGTAGTTATTGCACAACCTTATGTATTATGATTAATAAATATAAATGTTAAATGCTAAACACTAGTGACTTGTCAGACACTACAGCAGTAAGGGAGGTTAATAAATTATGTTGATGAAGCAAACTGAAGTGGTAAACAAGATGGAATGAAACTGACTTATAATGGGGGTTTAATGTCTCATTGAAAAATTGTTTTGAGTGGAAAAATTCACCAAAGTCAACAACAACCAATTAATCCAAACAATAACACTTAGACATCATTCAGAAAATGTAACTAGAATATTGCATTGACTCTTGGTGAGTATTCTCATTTTATTTTATTACTGTTCTGTATTATTATTATTATTATTATTAAAATATTATGGGATGGCAGGAGGTTTTAACCACTTTCTCTAACAATACACCTTATTCAAACTGTCAGCCCTGAGGTGGTCAGTGACTATATTTACACTGCTCACCAGTACTATAATTTATTTTAATTTTTTAATAGCTTTTTCAGTATTGTAAATTAAACTGAAGTTTGAACCCCTATGCTTTTATATGTTGAATATTTATTCCTCTGAAAGTAAGTTAGGCAGATACTGGTATACAGGACAAATCTCCAGTCCATTTCTGAACTATTGCTTTAGGATGCTTCCTCAAGTATGATCCCTGTGTTTCCATGGATATCAGATTGTGAAGAGAGGCAGAGGCAGTATACAACATATTACTACAGAGAATGTACAGACATCCCTTCAAAATCATATTGTGCTCACATACACCCTCTTTCTGGACGAGCCCTTTGGTGGCTCCTTGAAACAAGCTCACTGAGATAGCTTCTCACTACCGAGTTACATCAATCTTACGAGTCTTAGTGGCCTACCGGGAAGCAGAGCCAGAACATGGCCCTCTTATAGATGGGCAAAGAGCTGGGCATTGTTATGATCATCCACACCAAGAAAGCATCCAGAAAGTAGATGAAGCAATACAAACAATAAAGCGAGTGCATGGTTCATAAAATGAAGCACCAAAAACTAAGACTCCACACAAAACTCCACAAATTGTTCACTAAAGGCTTAGTCCGAACCCCTAACCCCCTATCGCACAAAAGCTGCCAACGGATTGTAACCCAGAGTCTGGCGTCAGTAGATCATGAACCTGATATGGATTGGCAGGGGGGGGGGGGAAGGAGCCTGGGGAGACACTGTGGCTCCGAGTGCAACATTTCATTACATTCAGCATTGGTTTTTGTCCCAATATCCACTGTGTAGTGATTCTTATTTGTGAGGTAATATGCAGCATGGCTCAGATCAGTGGGATAACCAGGTGGGCTTGTGGATAGTGAGAGCCTTTCTTTGGTGATCAGCATTGTCAAGTGAAGGCTTAGATGGGCTTCGATTTTGTATGGATTGACCTCTTAAGAGTAATTGCCTACTGGATATATTTTTGTTTTCCTCCAATGACTTCTTCAGTGCAATATGAACATGTAGGGATGTCTGAAACTAGCACTTAGTGCTGTTGTGCATGTTACCATGTAGGACTCGCCCCATGATCTCCTGACCCAATGATAGTGGGATTTTACTTGAGGGAGCAGCCAAATGCTTCAGCTTAGAAAGGAGCTTTTCATATTGCATCAATCTTGTTTTTCTTTTTAAAATTTTTCATCATTACAGGTGATGCCACATAGAAATGCTATCATTGAGTTCCATGCTGGGTCTTGTGCCGTTATGGAAAATATTGGGAAATTCCAAGTAGCTATTTGTCGCAGTGGCAGAACTGACAATGAAGTTAGCATCAGGTGAGGCATCTAAATTGTGGTTTGTATAGAAAAATACACTAATCAATGCAATAATGAAATAATTACAAGAAATTTTGTCATTGTGACAAGTCATGCTAATGAATAGAATTCTGTTGAATATTATATGTAGGTGAAAATCATTGGAGCAGGACGGGGATCGCAGCAGCATCCTGGGTAATCCCAGATGCACTATTTAACCCGTGGACCATGACGTGGGTTAAGATGTACATCTTAACCCCATGTCATATCTTACAGTACACCTGTACTGTAATTTTATAATTAGTAAAAACTGGTAATTAATACAGAAATGAAGTAAGTTCTGTGTACTTACTATGAACTTAAATTATGTTAATAATTATTTTTGATGCACCTTTATAGGGTTGAGACTATAGACGGAACAGCAACAGAGGAGCAGGATTATGTTGCAATCAACGAGGTTGTCACTTTTCAACCAGGCGAAACAGAGAAGTTTGTAAGTATTGCTTTTGTTAACTTGGCACAAAGACACTTTTCTTTAGTACCATTAATAATAAATATGGTCAGATAGTCCTAGTAAAATGTTTGCTTGCACATATTTTGTTTTGTTTGTTTCTCTACCGTGTACTTTCACTGGAACGTGTGGTTCAGTCACGCAGAGACTGTGTTCTAATAAAGAGTTCAAACCAGTAAAATCTTTTGAAAAAAAAAGCAAATATTTCAAATGGGCAGTGATAATGTTATAACAAAGGGGTCGTTCAAACATATAGATCAAGCAAGTAATGACTGTTGAAGTAGATAGTTAAGCAAACAATCACTATTGCAATATGTAGTTGAAATTAGTAACTGCTGCCACAGCTAGTTCAAACATGCATTATGCTGTAGATATGATTCAAATATGCAGTATGCCATACATATGATTCAAACAAGCATTGAGTGTGATCAAAGAGTAGGACTCAATGTGGAGGTACTGCATATCACAATGATAAATACATAAATGGAATATGTAGGTTGATTTACATATTAACTACATATGGCAGCCACTTTATTTCCTAAATGGTTATATCCACAAAAGTGTTTAGCAATCTTTGAAACATCACTACATGCTTGAAAATGCTGTATTCTTAACAAGAATATTTTATAAAAGACAGCAAGCTTAGTTAAATTTCAGTTGTGTTGGAGACTGTCAGGTGCAACAGTGGTGTGGGACGGTAAACCCCCACGGAACATGTGCAACAGTGGTGTAGGACAGGAAACTCCCACGGAACATGTGCAACACTGGTGTGGGACAGGAAACCCCCCACGGAACATGTGCAACAGTGGTGTAGGACAGGAAACTCCCACGGAACATGTGCAACACTGGTGTGGGACAGGAAACCCCCCACGGAACATGTGCAAGTACACAATTGGACTAAACCTGTCATTTAATTAATAATTCAGCATAACTGTACATGGTATAATAGAGAAAGGTAATGTATGAGCAGTAAGATGTTGTGACACCGATGCTGAAGCTGGCAGATGATATTTACCATGACTAACAAGGTTATTAATACTGTAGTTATATCGTGGCTGAGAATAAGAGCATTATATTGATAAATATAATGCTCTATAATTTATAATATAATAAAAAGCTGTATTGCAGTAATGACAGAGGGGGACACCTGCGAGGCCAGCTGTAGTTGAATATATTATAATGAAGACCTGCTGATGCTACAAGAATAGCTTAAATATGCTGAAGAAAAGCAAATATGTGCTGTACATTATGTCGATTATACAGAAATAATAATGAAGAGAAATATGATGAAGATACAATTGAGCATAACTAATTGTATGGGCATGAATGTTGTCTGGTTACTGGGGGTATTTACATGGAGGTACAGTGAATAAACCTTAGTAGATAATGAATACACAAGCACCATGCATTGCACATTCCCTCACCAACTGTTATACATGATTATTCAATGTTATGTAGAAGATTCAGCAATACCAGAGATGGTGGCATTCAGTAGCTGAAGGCCAAAGGTGTGTTATTGAAAATACTCGACAGTCCATGGAATACGTGAAGGTATGGCAATATTAAAAACATTAGTTTGAATTTATTACGATATTCTTCCTGCTTTGAATACCGAGTAAAGTGCATAATACTGATAATGTATATATAAAAGAAATAAGAGATTGATCATTAGGAACCAATCAATAAAATTATTGTATTAATTATACAATAGAAATTACATTGATATAAAAAAGCTCAGAGGTAACCTCGGAAGTATAATTATAAATTAAATCTAGCTTATATATTATAATTTGGTCACTATATAAAGACTTCTGCCACCTTACCTTGAGGTTACCTTGAGATGCTTCCAGGGCTTAGCGTCCCCGCGGCCCGGTCGTCGACCACGCCTGATAATGTATACCACAAGACAGGTTGTGGCAGAAGTGTGTATTCTCTGCCATATTTTCTTGTATAATTATCTTAATGGAAACAAAGTGCTTAAATTATTGAACTCGTGTATTTACCTTCCGAAAATAATGAGACTTGTCTACACAAGAGATTGATAGTAAGTACTACTGTATCTGTAGGCTACTATAGCATATGAATGAGATGTTGTTTCATTATTCTTGTCTGCAAAATTTTTCATTCAGCTTATAAAAGAAATTAATCATTAGATTGAAGTGGAAATCATCAATGACAACCAGTGGGAACCAGATGAAGAATTCTTTGTGAAGCTTTCATTGCTGGTGGACAGTGAGAAGAGATCAGGCGTACAGCTGGGACGCATCTCCATCATGGAAATAACCATTCTCAATGATGATGGTGAGTGACATGTTTCAATAAGTTAAGAAATTAATAGCTATATTTTTCTTTTTTTTTTACTAATGTGTAATTCTGAGCTAGCCTCCTTGGTTGCTCCTGGAGCCGTGCACCCATGTTGCCAACCCAAACCACAAAATGCCAGGCTCTGCTAACCTGCTTCTTCATTATGATTGCTACTTTTGTATACCACATAATTTGAGGTGGGAAGAGAATGGTGAATTCAAGAACTCAATGATGAGAGCTACACTCGCTGTGTCCCGTCTTCCAAGCACTCTTTTATCATATAACTTTTGAAATTACTGAGGGTTTTGGCCTGCATCAACTTCTTACCTAACTTGTTCCAATTGTCTACTACTCTGTGCAGGAGGTTTTCATGCATTACTGTTTACTTTTTGTGTAGCTACCTAGTCAGCTGCATGTCTTTAGACCTTGTGCTCCACTTCAGTTCTCTTCAGAGTTACCTTCTCTGACACTGATTTTCAATGGCTGATGACTTTTATAGTTATCATCTTTGGCATTGCCTTCAGTGCAGATCTCTCTTCTCCTCTGTGGTTTCATTATTTTGGCAGTTCCTTGAGAATTTATCTTGGGTCTCGGTCTTGGTATTGGGCTCATTCTGACACACTGTTGGAGTCCATTGTGTTGTCCCTTGGGGTGATTCCATGACACTCCTCCAGGTTTACTAATTGGACACTGAGTATCATTTTTTATTTTGGCCACTGACTGCTCTCATGGGCCTCATTGCTTGTGATGTTTACGTCATTAGACTTAATAAAGTACAATTTCTTGTGGCTAGACTACCTTCCCAGTCTATACCAGTTTGAGGAGTTAAGTTTCTGAGGATAGTTCATTTCTAGCATGTGCTAGGAATGAACATTTCCCCTCTTTCCAGTTTTACAGGGTATTGTGTCGAGTTTTTAGACCCCCCATAGCCATCAGCATTGCGCATGTTGGTGCAATATTGGTTTCCTCTGCAGTGTGTGTGACCATTGTCAGGTATGGATAATGATCCTGTTGAAGCCTCCTTCCTATGCTAGGTTTATAACACAGTACTTGGTTGTACACTCAAACACTGAATCATCAATTTTGCTAGTCCCTGGCATTGGCAGATGTAGTTTCCTGGGAATCTCTGCTCTTCTTTGAATAGGATGTTGAGTTGTTGGTGCTCAACACTTGAGTTTCATCCAAAGAATTAAAAGGGTGCTGCACTTCCCTTGTGCTACTAGCAAACACTGATCCTGTAAGATTATTGCACATTCCAACATAAGCCCAGCCCCAGGCCAGGCTTGGGAGTAAAGTCTCCAAACCCAGTCCAGGTATATTCCAGGCCTTCTCCACTGGCTGTAGTACTAAAACACTTACGGCTCTTGGACTCACAGTGGTTGGTGAATTTGGGTTATAAGCTCATGCTGTTGTTTCTACCGTATCTGAGGCTCTGCTCAGATGAACCCATTCCAAAGTTTATGTTGTTCCTTTTCCAGCTTGAGAGAAGTCTGTTTTGCTCCATGGGTTACCTGGGGGAACTGTTTATGGGGCCCCTCTGTCATTGACCATATCTTGAGCTGGAGCCTAGCTGTGGGACCAGGTTTCTGGACCAGCCCTCCCATTTCTGTGGATACAGAGAAATCTTGGTTGAATGTGCTATTAAAAGAGCTGTAGTTTCTTTGACCTTTCTTTTGTTTTTGTGACCAATACAGATGGGGTTAACCTGTAGATCAGGAAGTTATTCCCCATCCTAATCAGTCTCAGTCAGTTACCAACAGAGCTCGATGAGTGAGGGAAGATCACCACAACTCTAAAGTAGCCCAGGCCACCACCATTGTTCAAAGTTGTTTGCAATCACCAGTTTAGAATTTTCACAGAAGGGTTGAGTGTTTTGTGATTTTCCTTGTGTAAACTCGAGCAGTTTACATTGGTAGTTGGTTGATCCCTATGAATTTCACCACTGAGGCGAGGGCTAGTGAAGTTGGTGCTCATCTTCAGCGTGCTGAGTGTGTCGCAGGAAGCCTGGCATTTGCAATAATGTCCTATTCAAGATGGTGATGTTAGCGGAGAGGAGTTACCGAGGGGTGCAAACCCAGAAATATACTTGTAACACAAAGCACCCTGTGAGGTGCTTGCCACGTTTTACATCCTGTATTGCTATAAGCATCAAAGATGGTCTGACAGCTAATTTAGGATGTTTTTGGATTCCTGTATTAATTACATAGAATTTAATTGCATATGACAAGTCATCTTACAGCAAGCACAAGTTGAGGGTGTGAGAGAAATTTTGGAATACTGTATTATTATACAGTACAGTATAGTAAACTTATTATATCATCTTGACATATTAATTGTTCACTTCTATTTAGGATTTCTGCTTTAGATTTTTGGGTTACCTTGACAAAGTGTTTGGGGCTACAAGCTTTCAAGACTGTGCTTTCTGGGAATTATTAATTGTTGCTAAGTGATATTCATAAATCAAAACCAAGAACTAAGAGTGTATGAACACCCTCAGTTTTACCCCAAATCTCCACCAAGTATGTACTAGATGTGCTTAAATCAGCAGACAGCCCCTCTACACAAGGGAGGGAGCAAAGCACTGGAAAAGAATTATTGACCAGTTGCACTAACATCCCACATAATAAAAGGATTTGAGAGTGATCAGGAGTCAGGTCACTAGTTTCATGAAGACCAATGACTTTTACGACCTAGGCCAACATGGATTTAGATCTGGAAGATCATGCCTCTCATAGCTACTTGACCACTATGACAAAATCACTGAGGCATTGGAAGAAAAAAAAAATAGATGTGGTATACACAGGCTTCGCAAAGGCATTCGATAAATGTGACCATGGAGTGATAGCACACAAAATGAGGTCAATTGGAATAACTGGTAAAGTAGAACGCTGAATACTCAATTTTCTTTCAAACAGAACACAAAGAGTAACAGTCAGCCATATAATATCGAGTCCAAGCACAGTTAAAAGCTCTGTACCACTTGCTGTATAGTCCTTGCACCACTGCTTTTCCTTATTCTCATATCAGATATAGACAAAAATACAAGTCGCAGCTTCGTATCATACTTTGTAGATGACACAAAAATCAGCATGAAAATTACCTCTGCTGAAGACATTGAAAAACTACAATCAGATATTAATAAAGTTACTGGGCAGAAGAAAATAACACGATGTTTAACAGTGATAAATTCCAGGTACCTGGGTACGGTAAAAAATAAGGACATTAAACATAATACAGGGTACAAAACACAATCAGATTTGCCCATAATAGGAAAGCAGCATGTCAAGGATTTGGGAATATTGATGTCTGATGACCTAACGCTTAGGAAGCATAACCAAGCAAATATTGCGTCATTCAGAAAAATTATAGGATGGATTACGAGAACTTTCAAATCCAGGGATTCGATCACAATGGTTTTACTATTCAAATCACTTGTGCTATCCTGTCTTGAGTACTGCTCAGTACTCACTTCCCTCTTCAGAGCAGGAAAGATTGCTGAAATAGAGGAAGTTCAGAGAACGTACATGTATACTGCATACATAGACACGATAAAGCACCTAAATTATTGGGATCATCTCAAAGCTCGCCAAATGTACGTGTACTCGCCAGAAAGGAGAGGAGAGAGATATCAAATAATATATATCCATGTGGAAAATACTGGAGGGCCAGGTCCCAAAGTTACACAGTAAAATAACAACTTACTGGAGTGAACGATATAAAAGAAAATGCAGAATAGAACCAGTGAAGAGCAGGGGTGCCATAAGCAAAATCAGAGAACACTGTACAAACATCAGAGGTCCACAGTTGTTGAACATCCTCCCAGCGGGTATAAAAAATATTGTCGGAACAACCGTGGACATCTTCAAGAGAAAACTAGATAGTTTTCTTCAAGAAGTGCTGGAGCAACTGGGCTGTGGTGGATATGTGGCCCTGCAGGCCACTCCAAGCAACAGCCTAGTGGACCAAGCTCTCACAAGTCAAGCTTGGCCTCGGGCCAGGGTTGGGAAGAACAACTCCCAGAACCCCATCAAGCAGGTATCAAGGTAAAAATTAGGCATACCCGTATATTGATTTAAATTTTAGCGTTCTGTTTTGATTTTCGATATCAAATAATTCTACTTGATTATCATCTATAAGGACAGTCAAAAAGGTGTAATTTCTTGAGAAATCCCCCGAGATGACCCACAAATTCAAAATGAAAATCTAAAATAGACACCCACTGTCACACACCCTCAACTGTACCACAAATATTAGGAATAAGGAACTTACTACAATATAAACTTTAAGTGCTAAAGCTTTTTTTCATGTCCTTGGTGTGTTCTTCAAAACCAAGCCTGCCAATTGATACTTGGTGCCAATAATATGTGCACACATTATCTGCAGCTATGGTATGTGCCCAAGTCATCACATGCCAGATCAATGAAGCAACCTCTGGTACTTACAGCAATACAAAACTTAAGACATGGAAAACATGTCACAGGATGCTCTCTATCTACATACTGTCTGTATATTATACCTACACTAATGATTTCCAGTACACGATAAAAATGCAGACACTGGCCTTGACTTATAAATAACAAGGTTTGACATATAAATTGTAATACATAAATAATAATGAATATATTTTATATTTTGCTTAATGTAGATTGTTTAAAAATATTCCTGCATAGAGACTTAACTGAAAAATTAAAAAAGGATCATAAATAATATTCACAAATATATTGGAACTAGAGAATAAGCAAACTCGTACAAATTTTTTGCACTGGATATTGAAATTTAGATTCTGAGTCCCTCGTCAATCTGTGTTCCTCTAAAGTGTGTGGTTAAATTGTTACATTTTCTAACAAGTTCATTAAAGACATTATGATATTAATAATTTTCCATGGTGTGTGCACTTGGCTTTGTAAGTCAGTAATACCAAGATTGGCAGCATTACTATAGGTTACTCTTGGTGTTTGTTCTCTTCCAGATAGTATGTGTATTCAGCTATGGAAGTCATGTCTGGTATATTTTAACAGCCTTGAGCTTTTAACTTCTATTAACAATGGATAAAGGTTTGAAAGAAAAGCTTAAAGGCAATCTGTTAATGAGAAGGCTTAAGTACTGTACAGTATCTTTAAATGCACAGTGTGTGTGTATGTGTGACAGTTGGCACATTGTGCAACATTAATTTTGCTACATGTAATCTTCATATTTTGCTTCATTTCAATTAAACTAAATTTTGGTTACTGTGCATGGATTATGGTTTGACCATTTTTGTTGATAAAGATGATGCATAAATGGTAATCTGAGCCAACAGGTGACATATACCCCACAGAACTAAAAAAAAAAAAAAATTGATGCTGTACACTGGATACACTATACATAAAATATAGCATACTTTGAGTGTACTTATGATGCACAAATTATTGCATTCATTGTATACAGTATTGGTAAATATGTCCATTGAGGTACATAGTTTAGAAATACAGTGTAATTACAAATGATATACTGTATACATTAATTAGTTTGCTGATCCTTGTGGATACATTATGTATTAACGATGCAAGGTAGGTTGGTATTATCTAGAGCCGCTACATTTTATATGCTTGTTAGTTAAATGTTGATATCGTCAAATATCACCTTGCTGAAGTCAGTTTTAGTAAGGCATCTTGCCAGCACTGTTGTGTATATAGAAGTATTAATTGTGTATAGTAATAATCAGAATGGATTATTCAAGTTTAGTTGTTGGCTATGTTTTAACTTAGATTTGCTGTATAATTACTGTAAATTGTATGAATGATTGTTATCACAGCCGTTTTAGATTGCAACTTTGATGTAAATATAATTTTCATTAAAACATCATAACAGGTGGCAAAATGAAATTTTTTTCATTTTGTTTTTACTACAAATTAGCAAATAGACATGTCCTTTAATTTCTTGTACTTATATTCAGAGCCTGGAATGGTAATGTTCCAAAAGCGAGGCTTCCTGGTGAAGGAGAGCATTGGGAGTGCAGTAATCCCAGTTGTCCGCAAGAATGGGGCTGATGGAGAGATTACTGTGAAGTGGCGAACAATTGACAAGAGTGCTATTTCTGGCCGTGACTTCGAGGGAGGAGAAGGTGCCCTCGTCTTCAAGCACACAGAGGTAAGTTTTTTATTATATGCAGGTATTCATATTTTGTATTTTCCTAGCTCTTTTTATTTAACATTATACAGTTCCTAGACTGGGTGCACAATGAATTTTACCACTTGACTAAGATCACCAGCTACTTGAGGTACTTTTTGAACTAAGTCATACTGTTGCTTCCTTAAGCAATATCTTACTCTTTCCAAGGACATGCCCAAACAACAGCTAGGCTAGATCGTCAGTCACTGCTGTGTCATGAAAATGTTTTTAAATGCTATCACAAAGTCATTAATGGGGAATGGAGAAACTTTTCGGTCCGGTCTGGAATGAACCTCCATAATGTTCAATCATCTATACCACAAATCCCTCTCTAAAGCAATATGTAGCCTCAAGCACTGCTCTGCTAATTGCTATTTGACCACCAGTAATTATTCTTGTTGAGTGGGGATTCCTTAAGTTATTTTGTATATCCTTTGTTGACCAGACCACACACTAGAAGGTGAAGGGACGACGACGTTTGTATATCCTGTTGTTTTCTGGGCATTGGGGAGACTATGCTTCTGAGTGGATACCTACATACAAGTCATTACATAGTAGTTTGTGCCTCCTTAATTTTTTGTGGAAGGTGTTGAAGTAATGTTCTCTGCTGGTTTGGTTAGTGCCTTAGCTGCAGTTACTTTCTTAGAGTTGATCCACTACATTTTGAAGTTCCTTGGTACTTAGTCTTGGGCTAAGACATGTATTGTATGTGCGTGTGCCATTCTGACATATTCAGTCATGTTCCTGTGTCTAATTATGCAATTTGTTTGGTTACCTTGGGTCTTTGTTTGATAGGGTTTGTTGCTGTTAATTTTTTTTTTAGCATGAGTTGGCCAACCTTTAACCTTTACTTATTGGTAGTTTGACCACTGCAAGTAAAGGCCCTCTTACTTACAAGAGGAGCTATGCTATGTAATTATCTAAGTGGTTACATAGCATACCTCCTCTTGTAAGTAAGAGAGCCTTTACTTGCAGTGTGCACCAATGACGAAAAGTGAGCAATATACTGAAAGAACAATATAAATAAATGTTTAATTCAATGAAAATAAAAAAGTAGAAAATCCTGAGAGCTTTTACATGAACTTGGCCCACTTGGAATGTCACGTCTGATATCACATCAAACCTCATAGACATAAAAAAGCAAATAGACAAACTCCATTCACTTAGCTCTGTAGCCACAGTCCCAAAATTCATTGTTATAAAGAACTACAAAATACCATTAGTACTGTACTGCATTCAGTATTATATGGAGAAATAGCCTGGAGAGAGATGACATTTAAAACTGCAGACTTTATTCCACTTCATATGGAAGATAGTCAAGCAATGACATTAAATTACAGACTGCTCACACTAATACAGTATCACACATAAAGTCTGTTAAAAGACAACTAAGACCTTTTAAAAGAATACAGGATATATAAGACAGATCTTCTGGTAGAACAGAAAGAACAAATCACAAGGCCTATTAATTATAATGAGAGATACCACTTGGAGAGTACCACGAAGCAAACATAACCAGAAAAATGATAGGGCACATAATGAGGAACTTCAAAACAAGGAATGCCACCCCAATGATAGTTCTCTTCAAAGCACTGGTGCCATCTTGATAGGAATATCATTCAGTCCTCACAAAATATACAAAGAACCTTTACAACCTACAAAAAATTAGTTAAGTACTTAAAACTTCCTTGGAAAGGAGACAAAGGAGATGTCCTCACAAGTCGAGGGGGAGTTGAAGAACTCCCAGAACCCCATCAAGGAGGTATCAAGCAGGTACATACATATGGAAAATATTGGTAGGCCAGGTTTCTAATCTGTATAACTAAATTACAGCATATTGGAATGAAATATTTTAGTAAATGTAAGATATACCAAATAAAAAGTAGTTACCATATGACCAATTAGAGAAAACAGTGAGAACATCAGAGGTCTGTGACTCAATATCCTTCCAGCATATACACAGTATATGAAACATTGCTGGGAAAATGGAGAAAGCCTTCAAGAGGAAACATGATCCTACTGAGGCTCCACTTAGTCTGGCTATGGTCTATAAAAGCAGAGCATCACAGACCAGGGAAGCCAGGATGGTACAATAGAGCTCAAACCAATTTTCACTGGTAAGCCAGATGAGTCTGCAACTGGGTCTCCTGTTTATACTATGATGTAGGGCACAGATCCCATGTTCTGTCCTAGGTTTTCACATAAGGTTTTATGTTTGACACTTGCTCTCTAGAACTGAGCTTACAGCGAATTTAGGTGCTACTTTTATGTAATGTCATCTGACTATTTTTACCCTATTGGTCATTTCTGCTGCTATTGGCATTCTTCCTTTGAGGGACATAATAGGATAAATGTTTTCCATCCTATCGACCCATGCTAACTCCATGAAAGAACACCAACATTCTATTCTTCCCATCTTTGCTATAAAATACCTGGTCCTCATACCTAATCTGAAAGGCAACAGCAATTAAAATTTTCCCTTAACTGACAGTGATCTTTCTTCCTACTTTGGTAGGGCAGGGAATGGAACTCCTCTAAATTGCAGCACCTGTGAAATCACTTTTCTGCGTCGTCAATAACAGTTTAGTTTTTACTGATCTCCTCTTGTAGATGCTTTTGTAATTTTCCATTCCCATCCTAGGTATTTTTTTACAGTACTGTACTTGCCTTTTCATCAGCTCCAACTTAGCATTTAATTTAAGACAATTTCTTTAGATTTGATGATTAAGCCTTTTTCACAGTCAAACTAAGACTAGGTAGCCCACACTGCACTACTGGTTGTCACTACAGATGGAACGTATACTTAGGTAAACAAAATTATGAACATTTCTTTTGTACATTTGTGTGAAAAAATAAATTAAGGAAAATTTGTAGTGATTAATTTGTCTATTTATTGTGTCATGATGCACCTCTTAGATTGTACAAAACATCGAGATCCCCATCATTGATGACATGACACCTGAGAAGGATGAGCACTTTGAGATAGAATTGTTTGATCCAGAAGGTGGTGCCAAGTTGGGCCAAATAAATCGCACTGCTGTCACAATTACAAATGACGATGGTGAGTCACAGTTGTAGCATACAATACTTGTGTAATATAAAGAAATTCAACCATTTTTTTTTTAATTTGCAATTTTTGTAACATTGCAATTTTTATTAACATTATATATTGTAAAGAATTTAGAATTAAATTTTCTTCTATCCTTTTCAGATTTTAACAACGTTCTGTCCAACATGATGATGATGACAAATGCCAACCTTCACTCACTACAAGTACACCATGAAACTTACCTCAGTCAGATTAAAGATGCTCTCAATGTGAATGGTGGAGATATTGAAAATGCATCTGGGATGGATTATTTAATGCACTTCTTTACCTTTGGATGGAAGGTAAGAACAAATACAAAGTTATTTGTTTTTTTAGGAAACACATGTTTAAATAAATTTAGTTTTGTAATTAAAGTATAACTGATAAAACTGTTAATAATTTTTCACCACATTAACTATCTAGTGTAATGTGCTTTGTTTACTCGTTACAAAGTAATGCTTCTCCTTCATTATAAACAGCCTGGATTTGTGTAAATTGTTCTTTTACAAAATTTTGTTGCACCTGTTTACCACATTTAGTTAGGGTTTAAATAATAATATCAGATAAGTAGAACTATTATGTACAACAAAATCTTGGTTTAGTGGTCTAGGATATTTGCTTTGGAGTACCAAGTGAGCAGGTTAAAATCCTCTTCATGGCTCCTGCTGATTTTATTATAAATATTATTTTGGTTAGTAAATAATCAATTACTGTATGTTCAACAATTGTGTATTAAGTCATTGGTTAATATTGAGGAAGTTGATGTCCACGTGTCTCTGCAGATTATCTTCGCCTTGGTGCCACCACCCGGCATCCTTGGAGGCTGGCTGTGTTTCTTTGTCTCTCTAGCAGTAATTGGTGTTCTAACTGCTATTATTGGAGACTTGGCTGCTATTTTTGGTTGTCTTGTTGGGCTCAATGACTCTGTTACAGGTAAGTCTTTTAAACTCAATAATATTTATAGCTACTGTAGAAGTTTGCTAATCCGGACTATATGGGAAGGACCCCCCTTGCCGGATGAGCCCGTTTTCCAGATTAACTGACTTTTTGCCATGATAGTCTAAAAGTGAACATTTCCAAAAATGATTGTACGTACCACAAACAACATAATTTGAATTGCCACACACTATAATTAGTGTGTGGGGCCGGGTGGGGGGTTAGCTGCCTGCCTGGCTGGTAGGTGGCCAGACAAGTGGGTGAGTGTGCAAGCAGGTGGGTGGGTGGTTGGATGGGTGGATGGCAGGCAGATGGGCTTGGTGGGTGGGCAGGCTGGTCAGGTGGGGTAGGCATCCACTCCTAACACCCACTCCTGACATCCACCCCTGACACCCACTCCTGACATCTGACACCCACTCCTAACACCCACACCCACTCCAGCCTCCCTGCTTGCCTGAAGCCTCTCAGCTTGCCTGAACCCTGCCTGACTCCCCTTTCCTGGTGGTGGTGTACAATGAGTGTTAGGCCCGGCATTTCACTTATTAAGGAAGCTGATGTGAACCCCATGTAGCCGCAGGACTTAAATCTTGCACGCTACTTTAAATGTATATATATAATGTGCACCATTCAGCGACACTTACTCAAATTGTACTATACAATTTGTGCCTTTAAGGGTTAAGAAAGCATGCAGTGACTTGATAAAGGTCGAGGATGGACCAAAATGTCACCACTTTTTTTTTTCCAGTGTGTGGCCTGAATTAATAATGTTAAGCAATGTTATTGTGACCTTTTATCTACTAAAAAGAGCATGTTTCTTTTAATTAAATGTGCAAGTGAATTTCACTTCTTTCCACAGCAATTACGTTTGTAGCCTTGGGAACTTCACTTCCTGATACCTTTGCATCAAAAACTGCTGCTGTTCAGGAGAAATATGCTGATAATGCCGTAGGCAATGTGACTGGCAGTAACTCGGTGAATGTATTCCTTGGTCTTGGTCTACCATGGTTTATTGCATCTGTTTACCATCTTAGTCAGGTAAGTGTTGACCAAGTTAGTCAAATATTTAGTGAAATAGAAATCATCATGTTTCTGAAAATCTAAATATTCTTAGAATCTTAAGTGCTATTAATGTAACTTATTTTAAATTGTATCCTGTTTTGGACATGGGAAATAAGCTAGAAGTAGTTAAATTTCTTTACAGGCATATTCACTTTGTAATTGCTTATATTATAGGTTAAAATGACAATTTTGCTAAATGAAAAGGCGCAGGAAATGTGGTGTGGAGGCATGTCTAGTTGCAATGAGTTCCTCAACAATAACATGAAGATGGTCACATATAGCTCATTGAATTGAGGTTGTACTGTATACACTATCCTGGTTTTTATTTTTGAAAATAGTGGAATACACAGCCTTATCTACATATTTTTATTCATGTGTGGCTACTTGTTCTCCATATAAACAACCAACCCCCTCTCTTTTTTTTTTTTAATACTGTCACAATTATTTCACTTTTCATCTCAATATTCCAGTGTTGCATACATTCTTTATGTTTATTTTTAACATATCTAAACCACCTAAGTACTCTGGCCTCTATCCACCTTTTTTTCATGAGTTGCATACTGTTTATAATACAGTACCTCCACTCAGATTTCTGCATCTCTCTCTCTGCTCGATATCTAACCCCCTTTTGAATCCTATTTTTGCTCCTTACCCTTTTCTTGCAAATTTATTTAGACACAATTGAAATGGTCTGTTTCATTACAGCAGGTTTAACTGCATCCTCCTGATAAGTCTATTATTCAGTTAAATTCACTTTCTTTGCCCTAACCAAATTTTAACTTTGGTTAGGGCAAAGATAGTGATAGTAGATAGATAGTATTTTTACTATTTTACCCTTTTAGATAGTAGTATACTGACTAGTAAGAAATTCTTTTAAAATAATTGAAGTTAAAACACAAACTTAAATATTCCAAGGCCTAGTATAGCACACACATGTACTATATTGGCCTCAGATAATCACATATTAGGCCTAGGGAAGTTAGGTTAGCTTAATTTGTCAAAGCAACACAAGTAAAAAAAAATAGTTTTCCAGTTTGTCCAAATCAATAGATCAGATTTATACTTTCTAATTTTGTTAAAAGTTGTTATATATACAGTATTATAATCCTCATCGTTACTATAAGTACTACCAAAACAGGAGGATGAGCTTTATATTTTACAATCACTTAAAAATTAATCTTTTTGTTGTATATATATTTAATATTTTCTTCCTCATACATAATCTGCTAAATTCTTTATTCTTCATTATCTTCATTATCGACTCTTAAGTAGCACCTTGTTTTAGTCATTATAGTTCTGAACCCAATCATTTAATCATTTACTTCTAATAGTTCCAACATATGCACAACTTTTCTTTTTTTTAAAGCAGCTTGTCACAGGTCCTGAGAAATGCTCTCCCATATCACATGCTCCTATGTAGTGCTTATCTTTGAATTTGATCATGTTTTTCCCAAATCCATGTGTGTGTGTTGAGATGGTACAGCCAAGGGTAGAATTTTTTTTTTTTTATATGGGGCTACAAGGCCAAGCAGTTGTATTGCAGAAGGTACTGCCAAAGGAAGAATTGTAGACCAATAGATTGCAGCACAATTGTTAGAGAATGGAGGTGTAGACAGCATGTAACAAGTCTTCAGGTTGACAATTGAGTTTTTTTTATATATAGCTTAATGTTCAACATTTGTGTGTTTCAAGTCTTTGAACATCCCTGATAATTTTTTTTTTTTACCTGTTTTCTTGGTTCAAAGCCAGTGGTGTATTATAATCACTTACCATTTCACCATTTCCAAGTGTTAAATATATTGCAGGGCACCAAGTTTGTGGTTCAGGCTGGCAGTCTTGGATTTAGTGTGGGTCTCTTCACAGGACTCTGTATTGTGGCAATTACCTTTCTCATGGCTAGAAGGTAAGTTAAATTTGGGTTTACATTTTATTGAAGGAGTTGATTATATTTTATGTAATTATCAATGATGAAATCATTTTCCACAAAACTAGAACCTAGAAAAAAGGTGTTCTTTAGAATTAACTATGAACCTAAAATAGTGTTAAATGTTACCAAAGATTTATTACATTTACGGTAGTACTCAATACTAAGAAATTGTTTATGGTAACTAATTTTTTTATGTATATGAATGATTAACACCATAAAATGGTATTCCATAAATCCCAGGGTGGCCTGGTCAGACACAGTGCAGTTCTATTTTACAAAACCAAACAAATATAAAATGGTAATAAAATAATAATGTAAATAATGTTTTTTCAGAGTCTTTGGTGTGTTTGGGAAAGCAGAACTGGGTGGCCCTACAGTTCTGAAGTATCTTTCTGCCTTCTTTTTAATTGCTCTCTGGTTTGTATATGTGATGGGTGCTTCATTGCAAGCTTATGGGTACTTCTAAGTATAATAACTTAACACTTTTAAAGTATGTTATGAAAAAAGTAATTCAAATTAGTAATAGTCTTCATATATAAAAAAGTCTAATACTGATATTATAAAGTTAACAAATCTCTCTATTAGTCATCAACAGGTAATAGTAGATAAAACAAATACAGTAGTAATATTTTATATTTTGATGGAGTTTGTGCTTTTGATTTGTGATGTCTACAATATAACCAAATGACAATTTGATGTGTGTCAGATGTGTGTAATGTTGAATGCCTTTTGAATTTTTAATGCTTAAATGAAAAGATGTTTTAATGTATATTCCTTGTACAGAAAATACTGCAACTTATTATGAATAGCTTATTACAGTTGACAAAGGTAGAGAAGCATTTCTTTCCTAGAAGTGACGAGGAAGACATGTTTTAGACCATAGTCAGTCGGTAAGTTAAGAGGCCATCAAACCTACTTTAATTGGTGTTATGAACAAAGATGTGCAAACAGCAGTGTAATTATTTTTGATACAAATAGATGATCTGTTTGAAGTTGTTTATTTTCCTACTTGTAAATGCTTGCCAAGGCATTCCTCATTCTTCTTTATGACTGCTAGTTAATAGCAAATGTTTCATTTCTGAACAAGTGGCATGTGGAATTCTTTGGCAGGTATTTCATGTGCTCCTTGGCAAGCCTGTATTTCTCTTAAAAGTTTAACTATGTTTGTTATACTTTTTTATTATATAATTTATAATATTTAATAAACTTACATTCAGTATATAACAAATTTTAAGCAATTTTTTTATATAGACAACTTAGACAAGTTTAAGTGCAGCTACCAAGGGCTACGGGTTTAATATAGATGAAAGGTGACAATTGTATCATTTGAGTGGCTTTTTTCACGAAGGATTTATTAATACTGTAGTGAAATAAAATGATGACTGAGGAATGAATTCCCTTTGACCTCATCATTTGGAAATTGTGTTGTATTTACTGAGTAAATGTGTAATATTATGACATACTCTCCAATTTAGCATCCTTGTTCTTGTATCCAAATAAACTTTTGGTATTAACTTTTACATACATTATCTCTCTTTAATATAATGTGCATAATTAGTATTCAGTATCCTTCATATATTAATTTTTTAATTTCAAATTTGGCATTTTGATGTCACAATACATTTAATTAATAGGATAAAACTCCACACTTGTGTATTTGTGAAATTGATGTATAGAATTACACAGACTTTCGCACTCTTCCGAGTGCTTTGTCAAGGTCTGAGTGTGTGGTTCGAACGAGACTTGCATCTCAACGACTAACGAGCACATTAGTCATTGAGATGTAAGTCTCGTCCCCACCACACACTCAGATCTTGACAAAGCATTCAGGAGTGTGAAAAACTTGCCTTGAGGTGCTTGAGGTGCTTCCGGGGCTTAGCGTCCCCGCGGCCCGGTCGTCGACCAGGCCTCCTGGTTGCCGGACTGATCAACCAGGCTGTCGGACGCGGCTGCTCGCAGCCTGACGTATGGTGTAATTCTTTACATCAATTTCACAAATACATAAGTGTGGGTTTTTATCCTATGTTAAAATGTCTGATAAGACATTACTAATACATTTAGTATTGTTGGAAATTAATCTAATCTGAATTATTGAGAATCTTTAGTTTATAGTCTTTGAAATTTATTCCTCTCAATTTTTATTTAAATTTAAATTCTCTACAGGAATAATTTCAAAAGTTTGTACTTAAGTTAAGCATATTTATGATGGTTTCCATTTTCACAGAGTGGCTGAAAGCTCTCAAGTATCAATGTTTAGTGATGTTGAGAACAAATATGTCAGATATGCTCTCACAAAAGTATAAGTTATATAATAATAATGTGTCAGCATCTCACAGCTCATTTTCTTAACTTCATTTATCCTGTGATAATGTTAATTTACAACATTTTAGCACATTACCTTGTTGAACATCATTAAATGGAAAGCCTTATAAATGAAGAGAATAAAACCTAGCATTTGTTTATACAATAGACTACAGGAAGTCTCCTATTTTACACATGCCCACTATACAAACACTCATCCATCCAAACAGCCTACCAAAATCCCCCCCCCCCCCCCACCCCTTTCTTTTTTTGTCTCAACTCATCAATTCACTACTCATAATATATATTGCTAAGCCACCATAGTGTGGATAATAACTTCATTAGCCTGGACCCTCGAAGCCTCGAACAGCTGCTCGCATACAATAGCCATCTGATCTACCTACCAAGCCAAAATGCCGCTTAAAAGGAATGATTCCAGAAGCATCAGTGTTGCCCAACTGGAACTTTAGATCTTTTTTGTAGGGTGCCACTTTGGCATGTAGGTATTAGGTGATCTACATCATGACTAGGATGTGG